CTATTCTTTCAATAGCACATTTTAGAGTATATGATCGTACTGAAAGCCTATGAAACTGCACAAAAGTGGATTAAATGCTGCTAATGTTGCCGGAAAACCCTACAAGGCCTCGGCTGAAGCAGTAACTGGCTGCTCATGCTGTATTTTGTTCTGAGAGGGTTTTTTTTTTTTCCCCTTGTCTCCTAGAGACAGCGCTGGCTTCCTCCTTTGTTTACAGTCATTGGTGTGAGTCATCACATAGGTCATGGTGAATATTGCAGAATTGCACTTCAAAATCTACTCTAACTTGTACCCTTGTTAGGCCTGATCAGGCAGGTTGAAGTTTCCATCCTTGGGAGTCCCATGACAGTCCTAATGGGCACATTGCATGCAAGGATTTTCCTTGAGAAGAAGAGGGATGTGATCAAATTGTTTCACTTGCCAAATGCTTTTTTTTTTTCCCTTTATTTTTCCCACCCGCTCCAGAGTTGAGAAGTTCCTTCTGGTGGCTGGTGAAGATCTGCTGTGTTGGCTTTAGATTTTTCGGGAGAGCTGCTCATCCTTTCGTTTGAGCTCTTAATCAAGTCGCATGAAGGATTGTAACCCTTGACTCTTCCCAAAGGTGATCTTTGAACTCTTCCCCAAAAGGCAAAGGAAGCCTGTTTTGGGAGCTGGCTTTTGCAAGTGAGGTTTAACATTTTTTAACATGGTTTCCAAATAGCAATATCAACATGAAGATACAGCTAGTTCTGGCAGAATATTCTGATGAGCAATCCACTTGCTCAGGATCCTGAGGTTCTGGGGAAATGGGTGGTGCTGCAAAATGTAAGTGTTGGTTGTCTGTTTTTTTTTTTTTTTGTTCCTTTCCTTTAAACATTCTTCAAGTGCAGGTTCCTTGGAAAATTACTTGGCACACTAGCTGCCCCTGGAAACCGGCCTGAAAGAACTGACTGGGACGAATGTCCGTCTGCTCAAAGGGCAGTGCATCTGCTAAAAGAGTGTCAAACTTTAAAACGAAGCCACCTTGTCTTGAAACAAGCTATTGCGAAATGAGCTACAATATGAGTTTAGAGATTGTAGCAGTACCACATGAACTCCCCAGGCGGGCGTTTGTCCTCAGAAGCACTTGTACTGAATAAGGGTGACCATCCAGGGAGCTGGCCTGAAAGAGCTTTCCCATGCTACTTTAGAGAGAGTGTGTGTGTGTGTGTGTGTGTGTGTGTGTGTGTGTGTGTGTGTGTGTGTGTGTATTAATCCAGCTCCAACGCTGAAACAAAGCCTTTCACTCTGAAGACAGCTCTGTGCCTTGGCCTACTATGGCCTAATACATTGGGATTTCTTCTGCTTTGCATCTCCAGCAAAGAATTTCAAAGCACGGTGCAGAATTTGGATGGATTTGAGATGAAAACTCCATGCGCAAGTAAATTGTTTCATTGTATTGAAGCCAGATGTTGCTGCAGATAGTTGGTAAAAACTACCAGCAGTCTCACCTTCTATATTTTTTAATTAATTTATTTTTTTGTCCTTCAGTATCTGTACCCATGCATAGAATAAGCAGGGTTTTGAATAAACGTCTGAATAAAGAGTTGGGCCAAACAAACGCCGTAGGGGGGTGGGGAAACCTTTTAAAATGTGCCAAATTCCAAAGTCCTAAATCTGCCTCCTATTGGTCAGCTCTGAAGATGGAAGCCAAGGGGTATCTTGTGAAGTGAGCATCTGATCGTCTTAATTTAATTCTAGGGGATTCAGTGCCGTTAGGATTGTTGGTGCTGATTTGGTTGTGTGTTGTTGTTTAGTGGTATAAATTTTGTACCCCGCGGTAGCTAGAAAGGTAGTGCAAATCCGAGTAATGAAGTGATTCCCCTGGCCTGTATTACTTGGCACCTTGGACTTGGATTCGAATTCAGGAAAAAAAATTATTTTGTATGTAACTTGGTGCAACAGACCATGTTTAGTACTCTCATGCTCCAGCACAATAGTAATTGATTGGGCTTTCAGCACTGCTGGACAATACTGAAATTCAGAACTTTGTATTTATTAAATATTTAAAAATCGGTCCCATGTGGAGGGTTGGTAGGAGTTTCTCAAACTGCTTTCTTGGACGTGAACTGCTAGTGTCCATACAAAGTGGTCCCTGGGAAGGAGCAGAAGTCTCTGGAAAATACAAAGCTCTCCCTCCTTTTGAATACAAATAAGGAGACCTCCTCTTGGTTCCCCCGTAAAGCTGTTAAGTGAAATAATCTGTTCATAGCATTAGATGTTAATGCTACCCAATCAGATTAAACTTTGGCCTAGCTACATGAAATGTTCTAGGTTAATTAAATTGCAGTACTGTTTTCCTTTGGAAAATGATGACACTGCACTACAATTAACTGGCTAGTATGGAAGCTGTGTACAGGGAAGCACTTTGTATTTAGGCCTAGTGTGTTTTTAAATAAGCAGAGTACCAGGGTGGAGCTGCTGTCAGAGGACCTGAAGTACCTTCTGGTTGTCTTTTACAAACCTCTGTTATGTACTGGCAAGTCCCACTGTTGTAATTCATGTTCATAAACTGAAATATTGTCATCTCTCCCAATTTACTCTGCAGCTTTACAAGTAATATTCTCTGTAGCACTAAGAGAAGAAGTGATCTTCCAGACTGATGGTGGGGGGAAGGGGGTACGTGAGACACAGATGAGTGACTGACCCAACTGTGTTTATCTTCTGTAGTGTTTCAGATGCTTATTGGTATTAACAGGCAACATCCATTGCATGTAGCATTACTAATAGTAGTAGTTGGTAACAGTGGTAAGTCTTTTAGACCGCTATCAATGTAGCCGTCCAGGCCTATCCAAACTGCTCTGCAGAGTAAACATTTTCCTAGAGACTTCTAGTCTGTAAACAGCTGCTACATGATGTGCAGCTTTAATTATGGTGTAATTTAAGAGTTAGCTCAAACACCTATATAGGCTGCAGCTAACAGCGTCTTCTAACTCGGAGCCACAACAGCAACCCACTGCCTTACTGTTTAATTCAAGCATTGAACTTTCAGGTTGTAATCTTGTGTTTCTATGGAATAGAATTGACTGACTGGGTTAGACTGCCTTACCAAGCTGGGATCTCTTCTGGCACTTCCCATCTGTGAAGGGAAGGGTCTTTATCCTCAAAGTCTCAACACCCATCTTGCTGGGGTCATCTGAACCCAGCAGTCTTTCCTGCCCAAGTGCGTGGGGGCTGGACCCGATGATCCCTTCCAGCCCCTAACATCAAAGAAATATTGTGGAAGAGAAAAGATGCAATTTCCTGATTTTGTAACTAGCTTGTCTGTAGGGAGGCAGTACTCGATTACGTTTCTCAGCTGGCATGCATGCAGATTTGTTGACGGTGTTGCTGCCGGATCCAGCGGCACTGTAACTTCACTTTGTCGCATTTAATGAAGTAACCACAAATTGTAGTACCAATGAATGAGTTTATTCAGGGCAGTAACTGGAAGCAGCACTTGGAATTCAAGCTTCTAATTGAAAAAGGGGTTTGTTTCAAAGGAGGCTTCATGTAGCGAATGAAGGAATTTGCATGATATTTGTTAGAGCCACCCAGGATCAACTTACAGCTGGGGTCAAATACCAGCTTAGATGACACCAGAAGAAATCCAACTTTAAGGTTTCTGGCCTGGAGTTTTAGGCTATTTATACATCAGTATTTTTTTTTCCCCCTCATCTCAGAAGTGTCTAAATACTTTTTTCCCAGGGAGTGGGGGCAGTGGTTTAGCAGCTGTTTATCTCTGCTAGCACTGGGAGCCAGTGAAAAAATGAGGGAGGGTTTCTTAAGATTAGGATCAAGGTCCCCAAACAAACGAGCGAGTGAAGTCAGCATGGATTTTCCATTTCTTTTTCCGAAAGGTGTCCAAATAAAGAAGTTGATGTCGTTCTAATACTAACTCAGTCACTGATCAGGAGCTTGAATTTTTTTTAAAACGCTGTCTCAACATCAGGCTGGCCAAATAAAGTAAGCAAACATGGTCTTGGAGAAATGAGCTTTGCTAGCCTGTTTATTAAAGTGAGGGTGAGGACATTGAGATCTTGGATATACTTAATGCAGTGTTGATGTTTGGAGGAGGTGGTATGGGGAAAGCCTACCTATAAACTGTTTTTTCTTTGGTAACTGGGTCAAATGCAGTCCTGGGTAGCTTGCCCTCAGCTTCTGCACAAAACTGTTAAGAAAGAGTTTGTGGTTCCAGTCTTGGTCCAGATGTCATTGGATGCTAACTACCACTTTTCAGTTGAAAATGAAACCAGGAATTGAATAGGGCAGAAAGGGTGGACTTCTGCTTTTTTTTTTTTTTAATTTCTTTTTTCTTCAAGCAGGGATCCCTTTCAGGATAGGGCTTATGTATGCATGTAGGAAGCATGGGGAGGTTCAGGCAGTCATCTGAACTATGTCCACTCCCCTTAACTTGCATCCCAGAAACTTGCAGAGTGTGAAGAAGAGCCCCACCCCGAAATAATAAACTACGAATTGGAAAGCTGTAGTTTTTAATTGATCTGAAGAAGTTCATATCGGGTGGACACCTGATTGGCCAAGGAAAGAGAGGAGTGGTGCAGATATGGCCAATTTGGTTTGCATATCTAAAGCTAGACTGCATTACCAGTTTGAATCTGGAGAGCTTGACTGCATTTCATATTTGTGAAAGGCAACAGGAGCCTTCTGAAATGAAATGCAGCCAGGGTCTTTATACTGGCATAAGAAGACCTAAGTCGGAGTTGCTGTTAATGTCCAGCAGGAAAGCAGACTAGTCTTATTTTTTTCCTTGTTTTGGGTGTCTTGCAGGAATTAGCCTTGAACAGGCTGAATTGAAGGGTTGCTTGGAAGGCACTGAGGTGTGGTTGATGTTAACAGCTTGGTAATAATATTTTTGGAGGCCATGGTGGCATACCGTGATCACTATCCTTGCCTGATTTCTTGTACCTGGATTTTGACAGTGGCTTCCTCTCCTTTGGTCTATGGTGACTGCACCTCATCTCTTCTGTCTCTTTCCGTTCCAGGAAGTGGATATCGTGGTGGCCCCGTGCCGGGGGTTCCAGTCTGCCGAGGTCACTTTGGGAGAGTATGTGAACCATGTTTTGCCTGTTATCACCTTTGCCATCAGTGAGGCTGAACTTTCAGCATCGGATGAAAATGAATTGCGGGAAATCAAGGAAAAATACGCTCTACCTGTTTTCTTTTTCAAAGTGCCAGAGTTGGGTGCTGAGCTCATCTCGCCCAAAAAGGTTGAGAATGAGAAGTCCTCCCTCTACTGCCAGCTAATGGACCTTGAATACCTGAGTATCAACCACTGCAGCTGTGGAGCACCCACTTCTGAAGCCAAAGCCCAGAGCATGCTGGTAGAACAGTCTGAGAAGCTGCGTCTCCTGAGTGTTTTCTCCAGGCAGGTGCTGCAAAAACATCTGGTAGATGCAGCCACCCTCCTGAACCTGGTGCACAGCCGTTGCCTGGACATCTTCATCAATCAGGCTTTTGATATGCAACGAGACCTGCAAATCACTCCAAAGAGGTTGGAGTACACTCGCAAGAAGGAGAACGAGCTATTTGAGTCCCTAATGAGCATTGCCAACCGCAAGCAAGAGGAGATGAAGGATATGATCATAGAAACTCTAAACAACATGAAAGAAGAGCTCCTTGAAGATGCTGCTAATATGGAGTTCAAAGGTATTCTTTTGGCAAGAGAGGGATGGGTGGGAGTAGAAGACTCCAAAGCTTAAACAATCTGAATTTGCTTCCTGTGCTGCTGTAATGAAAGGATAGCTGCCTTCTCCATTGTGTTGTCCAAGTTGAAGCGAGCAACTTTAATAATTTTGACTGTAGCCAACTCTCTGAGCAAATGTTGGTTTGAAACCCATGCTCTCTAAGCTTTGTGCATGTGACTAGGCCAGGAACTTTGGACTTCTAATTCACTTGGACAGCTTTGTTCTGTGTAGCCCTAGGAAACTTGCATACTGCCTTGCCTTAATTTTGCCATTTTATGAAGGGGCAGATTGTAGGTTGGGGGAGAATACTTGCCTAGCCAGTTCAAGGGGTCAGGGAGTGGTGGTGAGGACTAAGCAAGATTACTGAAAAGCAGGGTGCGCACAGCTGCTTGACAACTGTAGAATTCAAATCGTTTGTCTTCCATATGGAGACGGTTATCTTAAAAGGCCTGGAAGATTAAACCTTCTGAAATCTGTATGTAGATTCTAGCTTCTAATTCTTGAGGGGCAACAAAACTTCTAGAAAGTCTACCCATGCAGTCACTTAGAAAGCCACATCTATTTTATTTATTTATTTTTAATCGCATCTTCTAGTGACATGCAGGCCCTGTTACTAGCTTTGACCACTTTACACACTATCAGAGAAGGTCTGATTTTAATTGGTTGAGTTCAGTAGTCTTAATGAATGAGTAAATTCTCTGAGTTTAGTCAACAGCATTAGCTGATCCAGTGCTAGCTCGAGCAGATGTATAGCACCTCTTGCAAAGCAGCTTTTTCCTTCTAACTACTAGGGTATGGCTTGAAGTAGCATTGGTTTCTGAACAAAAAAACCTTGACAATGCAACTCAATGAGTTGACAAAGATCCCTTCATGACTCAGAGCTATTTTCAAATTTTGTTCCAGGCCATAAGCTTAAAGAAAATAATTTTGCTGCCTTTCATGTTGCAATTGTAGAGTGCTCTTAGGGAAGGGGTGGGCAGCTTGCAGGCCGGATGTGGCTTGCCAACTGACTCTTGGACCTGGCCCACAGTGTTCCACATGAGCCCGAGCTCCACCTAGGGCACCCCAGGCTGCTCTCCCGCCAGCCCTGGCCAGCATGCACCGCTTCCCTGTGCGGCTACTGCTGGCAGCCACATGGGGTGCTGCTTGGCTTCCCCTGCCTCCAGGGGCAGCTCCTTCTGCCCCCGCTGCACTGCTCCAGGTAGGGGGGAAGCTGCAGCTGTGTGGCTCCTGCCCCAGCACATACTGTTCCAGCTCCCGGCCATCTTCCACGCACTTTGCCTGCCTGGTGCAATGAGCAGCTACCTGTGGGTGAAAGGCAGCTGGAGCCCCGTGTGCTGGGGCAGGAGCTACCCTACTGTGGCTTCCTGCATGAAGTGGCGCAGCAGAGGCAGAAGGAGGAGGAGCTGTTGGAGGCAGGGGGAGCCAAGCAGGACAAGGGTGGCTGCAGCCGCACCAGGAGCAGCCCTGCAGGGAAGTTCTGTACACTGGTTGGGGCCAGCAGGCAGGAGCAGGTGAGGCTCAGCCCTACGCAGAGCACCGCGAGGTGGGGTGGACTGCACCTGCACGGTCTGGGTGAGCTCTGCTGCATGCACCTCCTGCCTTTAGCCCTGGTCATATCGCGAGACTTAGTGCCTGAAACTCCCCCCTCCCCTCCCTGTGGCCAAAATGATTGCCCAACTCGGTCTTGGGGGATATCCAAGATGCCAAGGAGTTCTAAAACCTGGAAAAAAATGCACCCAGTGCTCTGGGGTGTGGGAATATCTTCTGCTAAGCACTAATGAATTAAATTTGTGAAACAGCATCATCTAATATTTTGCCTATGTAGTCTGATTGCTGTTAGAATTGCCCTGTGGCTGGAGTGTGTGGTGCAATGTCTCATTTATTTCAAGTACAGTCATGGTAACAAAGAGCCTGTCTTGTCTTTAACTGTTGTGCTAGCTTGAATTGGTTTTTAATTGCGTTGCAAAATGCTAATAGCACCACAAATGTTAGCTGTACTGAATAGCTGAGTACAACTCCATTATTGGCTTGGGTGTTGCAGCACTTGAGTTTCAGCCCATAGTCCCCTGATGGGCCAGAAAGATGGCTCAAAGAGCTACTTCTCTCCCACTAGAGATCCTGTGGGTGTAGGTGTAACCCAACTCCTGCAGTTAACACTGCAACGAAGCCAAGTCCTTAGTGACTGCCTGCTTCAGTCTTGGAGCTCAGCCTTCTCAAGGGTGTAAAACAAAGCGTGGTAGCTTGTTGACTGTAGCGGCTGTTAAGTATCTGCTATGGGAAAGATGGAGGCTCAATAGGGGGTTTTAATGATGACCTAGGCTTCTGGATTAGTCTTAAATCAGACTCTCCTGAACTTTGTATTTCAATACAGGGCTCTAGCATGAGCTCAAAGTACTATGTTGTTACTATGAAAACTACCCATTGTGCATGCAAAAATAAACTTACTACCTTGTTAACCCTTGTTCGATGCAAAAATATCAAACAAGCAGCAGCAAAGGCTTCAGAGGCATTGAAGCTGGCATTGTAGAGAAACTGAAGTACTGCAGGCAAGTGGCTTGTAGCAGATCCAGCTTTTAGCAGATGAGCTGAAGGCAGACTTCTGGACAGAAGATCAGGCTGGGAAGTTGCTCAGATTTGCATTTTCATAGCAGAAGGCTGGATAGCTGTGGGCCAGCCTTATTCCTAAATATGAACGTTCATGTGCTCCAGAAAGTACAGGAAAAGGTGGACTGGAGTTTTTAAGTGTACTACCTATTATACTGAAATTTCAACTTGCTCAAGTGAAGTATAGTACTAACTTGTTACTAAAGTACCAGAAAATGAACCTGCGGTGATGGGACCATAAATTGAGGCTGGGGTTCATGAAGTTACAAGGCGGATGTAATGGCCAGAATGTACCCACCATTTAAAAAACAAACAAACCACAAAACCCCCAAAATTGCACAGAAAAGTGCTCACTACGTAGAATTTTCCTGTCCATATCTGGTTTCTTAATGGTTTGGAAATATGTTGTTGGCTGAAAAGTAAAAATAAAGCCTCTTCATCTGTCTGCTCCAGCTCTAGATTTTACTAAAAACGGGTAACGAGTTCTGCTCTGATGGTTCTCCGTTTCTCTTCCTCACACTAATCTGTCTGGGCTAATTCTGTGATTTTGCAAAACAATGCAACAGACTGACAGCTAGTGCTGGAAGTATGGTTTTGAGTTTGTCTTTTCTGTCTAAGAACAAATGTAATCTTCTTTTTTTTTGTCTTCCTCTCCTTCCAGACATTATAATTCCTGAGAACGGGGAGCCTGTTAGTTCCAAGGACATTAAATGCTGTATTAAACAAATCCAAGAATTGATCATTTCCCGGCTAAACCAAGAGGTTGCCAACAAACTGATAAGCTCTGTAGACTACTTGCGTGAAAGCTTTGTAGGGACTCTGGAGAGATGTCTGAGGAGCCTGGAGAAGTCTCAGGATGTTTCGGTTCATATCACAAGCAATTATCTCAAACAGGTATTGTCTCGGCAACCACAATATTCTGGGGGATGCTCCTTTCTTAAGCTTATGTACATTTTGACTGCTGACTTTTTGCTGCTTGAATCAGGATAAATGCTGGTCCATTAAAGTAGGCCAACTTATAGCATGGTGAAATATTTGGAAGGGAAGTGTTAGTCTTAAAGTAGGTGGATGTGGTAGCTAGAGGAGGGGCTGGAATATGGTTTTATTTCTGTCTTGGTAAACTGGCTTGTGGGGGAGTTTTCATTTCACTTCTGCCTTTGTTTCCCAACGTGTAAAATGAGAACAGTTTTTTCCCCTGTATTTCAGAGTTGAAGTGAATCCAAATGTGCACTGTTCTGGCAAGGAGACTGGTATATCCCTTGTACTGGATTTTTGTCTTTGGCAATGGCCAAATCTTGATGGACTACTGTTAACTTCCATGCATCAGAATGTGGCAAACCAGAACTCTCTGCTTTGTTTTCCTCTTTGCAGATCCTAAATGCAGCCTATCATGTTGAAGTCACTTTTCACTCTGGCTCAACAGTTACCAGGATGCTGTGGGAACAGATCAAACAGGTATGGGTATTGTCCAAATGACATAAAAATGACTTCCTAAGAAACCAGCCTTGGAGCATTGCAGTGAAGTAATGCTTACTGCTACCCTCTAGTAAACTTTACCCCTAAACACCTGTATCTGGATATAGCCACAGTTCAATGTAATTATAGCAGTGTCTTTTGGTATTGCTGTGAAAGAGAATTATTCTCAGACATGCTCATGGCTTTTAAAACGTACCTGCCTTGGTTCAGATGTCCATTTAACACTTTGCTGTAGGACAAATGTTGGGCTACAAACTATTACAGTGCTCTGCCTAGTTGATATAAAACACCCTGATTATTCTGCAGTTTTAATAATCACCTTTTGCGTTTTCTATGTTAGGAAAGCTCTTCTAGATGAAAATTCAACAAAGAACTTTCAGCATCTTCCTCAGCTTGGCTTCTAAAACAGACTAGTCCTTTCTGGTGCACAAATAATGTAATGTTTGGATTGCAAGTACTACAAGAAATTGCTTATTGAACTTTGCAGAATGTAAGACTATCAGATGCGTCTATGATGCATTCTGCAAAATATGTTTTTACCCAACAGTCAAGTAAAACCATAATCATATTATTTATATACTGCTATTAAATCATTATTAAATTTATAATATTAGAAAATTTTATTTGTCTGTTGGGTAAAAACAACACATTTAGCAGAATCTAAAAGACTGTCTGATGTGGTCCAAAAGAACTCTACATGCTTTACAAAGTTGCTTGTCACAAGTGTTCCTGAACGTAAATCTTTTAAATTGTGTTGGCAACCTACAACCCTGGGCTAGAGCCTGCCAGTGGAGGTGGCGCTTTAGTGGGAGGTGCTTCCCCTACACCTGTGTGGGGAGAAGCAGCAACCAGGCCCTAGCCCCTGCCCAACTCTGACTTGAGGTGGGTCTCTCTTCTGGCAACCTGAAAAACTTGCTGACTGCTGCCACAAGTGTTCTCTGCATGTAGCGCACAAGATCATTCTTCTGAATGGCAAGTAGGTGGTGCCTTGAGGGGTAGGATTTGATCTGTCCCGTCTGTAAGGGTAGCACTTCACTTACTCCTCCTCCCTGTTTTTTATAGATTATTCAGCGGATTACATGGGTGAGCCCACCTGCCATCACCACAGAGTGGAAGAGGAAAATAGCTCAAGATGCTATTGAGAGTCTCAGTGCTTCCAAGCTGGCCAAGAGTATCTGCAGTCAATTTCGGACCAGGCTAAACAGCTCTCACGAAGCTTTTGCAGCCTCTTTGCGCCAGGTGGGTTTGTGGGGCTGTGTAAAGGGGAAACCTGTTTTCTTTGTGCCAACGCTCTGCGCAGTCGTTAGAGCCGAGGAAGCTAAAAGGCTGTCTGCAGACTTGCACAGTGTAGCCTGCTGCTTCCTTCTTAAGATTTGGCCTGCAGGCACTCCAAAATGAGGCGAGTACCCGGATTTGGAACAGGTCCTGCATGTTGCATTTTTTCCCCCCACAAAGGATTAATAGGACTAAGTAATGTCATGCACGAACAAGTCCCGAGTGTGTGACCTTTTGGCCTTCTGTCTTTTATAGCTAGAGGCTGGCCATTCAGGCAGACTGGAGAAAACAGAAGATCTTTGGTTGAAGGTGCGGAAAGACCATGCCCCAAGACTAGCACGCCTCTCGCTCGAGAGCAGGTCCCTGCAGGATGTGTTATTACATGGTGAGCTCCAAGACTTGATCTGTTTTCTAGAGAGATCCTTTCCTGCCTTTAGAGGAACGGATCCAGGGCTTTTACTTTAGCAGTAAACGGTGTTGGCAGATGAGAACTAGTTCCAATAACTACTTCTACCTGATGCACCATGACTTAGCTTGAAGAATTGTGTAGTTGTTCCTAACAGCATATGAAAAGGAAGATATTATCCATCTAGTGCAAGATGCTTTGAGAACCCAAACACGGGGTTTGTTTGGATAGTTAACTTGTATTGGCTTAAACTGAAGAACGTGGGGGTATTGCATTCTATAGACTTCCTTTTTTTTTCCCGGGGGTATTTATATTAAACTGACTTATTTCAGTATGGTGCACACTTCAAAATCCTTACAACAAACCTTTTGAGTGTGAAGAGACTGTACTAAGACGCTAAAACTAGTATTTAGTATAAAATACCATGAAAAGTGGAGGAAGAGTTTCTATTTTTGGTAACGGGATGTGGAATACTGTACCCTTCAAACTAACGAGCTTAGTCTGATCTCATTCTGACTAACCAAAATGCTCATCTGAAGGCTGTGTGGCCTATGCGACTAGCTGAAGCAGCAAATCCTGCTGATGTTTCTATCTCAAACTAACCCCATTGGAACTAATTCATTCCCTCATCAGCAGTCTTAAACGAGACAAAGGATTGAATAAGGAATGACCCTCTGACCCCTTTGGCATCTTCAGCACTTAGTGCAAAGCATGCCGCTGCTGTATCTTTTTATGTAAAAACATACTCTTCTGCTGCTTCCAGTCCAGTTTTCAGATGAATTAACAGTCTTGGGGTTGTTCTCTCCCCCAGGATGAGCCTACCTACCTGACTCTGTACTATTCACTGGTTTGGTTTCATCTTGATACACCCTAACAGAGCCTTACATTTCTAAGGGGAGAAGATGGATATCTTTACAGCTGAACAAACTAGCGTTTTGTGTCCATCTGCAGGCAAACCAAAGCTCGGCCGCGAGCTGGGCCGAGGGCAGTATGGAGTGGTGTATTTGTGTGATACCTGGGGGGGGCATTTCCCCTGTGCACTCAAATCGGTTGTCCCTCCAGATGAGAAGCACTGGAATGATCTTGCACTTGAGTTTCACTATATGAGGTATGTACTAGCATGTTCTAATGCTGGTTTAAGTGATACTTCTTGCTGAAGCCAGAGGGACTGTAACTAGCATAGATCCTTCTCACATTCACTGACTAGTTGAGGATGCCCACCAAATGCTGGTGTTCCCAAGGGCCAGGCATGCTGTCTGCACTCTTCAAGTATAGAAAATGGCTGATGCCAAGTTCCTCCACTGTTCCTGCTCCCCTTTTTCCTTGGGGCTCACTCTTGTGCTCCCAGTGCTCCTGGCCTATCCACTTCCCAGAATAAAGAAAATCAGACTGCACATGGCATGGTAGCACACCATTCTGGCTACCTTGGCTTTGGCATTGAATATATGGGCTCTTCTTTAATTTAGTGCTACCCACTCTTTCGCTTCAGAAGCCGTCCTCTTCAGTGAACTCGGAATAACACCAATAGAACTACTTGGTGGGGAGCTTTAACTTGCCTTGAAACACTGGCTACTCCATTCCTTCAGTGTAGACAGCTGAGCCTGTTATATAACCATGTTATAACTATGTTATATAGCTCTTGTATCACTTTTTAAAATTGAGAATAACTGGAAATAGCTGGAGTTAGTTGCCATTAGATGGCACAGTCTTGGTGGTGGTTGCCTGTGCTTTTGTGATACTACTGCTTGCCAAGGGCAGGTAATGGGAGACTTTTTCCATGCAAGGAAACTAGGATGGATTTAATAAATTAGACAGGACTACTGGTCTGCAAGCTTTCTCTTGTCAGTCATGCTGAACCTTTTCTCCAGGTCTCTACCAAAGCATGAGCGGCTGGTAGACCTCCATGGATCTGTGATAGATTATGGCTATGGGGGAGGCTCCAGCATTGCTGTCCTCCTGATAATGGAGCGGTTGCACAGAGACCTGTATACAGGACTAAAGGTGAGAGGCACTAAAGCAGCTTGGGTCGTTTTAGTATTGGTGTTAATTTACTCTTTTTCTAACGCCTCAACCAGAAATCTGCAGTTGGCATGCTGGCGGAAAAGGGATTTATAGTAGTTGTCACTTGACCTCCGCCTTGTGTTGGATGGGCCACCCTCAGGGGTCCTCCTAAATATACCCCTTTTTTTTCTTTTAGGCGTATTACTGTCCGGCGTTCTTCAGAGTGTGTGCTTATTCAGCAGTACCTGAAACCGTGCTACTTGCATATGTTGTGGGAATGGCACACACTAAGTGCCCAGGGCAGGAAAAGTTATCAATTAGCTGATGGCCATTTTTCTTAAAGTGCAAGTGCTTCCCTAGCTTTGGTCTTTTCAGGGAGCCAAGAAATAAATTGAACCAGGCAGAGTGTTCTTGACTTGTGAATTTGGGCTATCAAGTGCATGGATGAGCATGCTGAGTATGGGGGGCGTTCGTACGTGGCTGAAACCATTGGTTTCTGCTGAAGGAGAATGGCACTTCCCCCTTCCCGTCCTGTTAATCGGCTGTGACTGCGGTGGCCCAGAGGAGTGCACAGTGGAGAAGGCAGATGTGCCTGGAGCTGCTCAGCTGATCCGTGGTGGGGGCAGGAAGGGAGGGGGAGGCGCATTCTCCTACTGTGGGAACCAGCCTGGAGCCCTAGGATGGCTCCAGCCATGGCAGACTGCCCCCTGCCCTGTACACAAATGTAACTCCGATCCATGGTCTAAGCTGTACTCGCACCTTGCACTTGGAATTGGCCATCCAGAGATTGACTTCTCTTTGCCCAGCACTTGAACTGCATCCAGAGTAGCATGCAACAGAATGGTGGTAAGAGACAACTTGGAGAAGGAAGCAAAGAGCAGCTGGTTGGTTTGATTAAACACACTACAACTGTCTAAACAGTAGAAGGTTGGACGGTTGTGTTGCATCAAGAAAACACAAGTTGGAGAACTCAACTTGAGTGCTCTAATGCATGTGAATAAAGAACTCAAAAGACTATATTATAGAAACGAAAGGGACTTGGGGAAGTGATCTTAACCCGTGACCTTTCTGAAGGGGGCGTCTTGTAGGGGAGGATACAGTTATGTTGCTGTAATAGTTTTGGAATGTTTTAATGTGGCTAAGGCTGCTACACTAAACTGATTGAGCTTGTATGTGTTGGCAGCGGTGGCATAATGGAAGCTGTGTCCCTTGATCTTTAACAGCTGACAGCCTGTAATGCTGTGGATCACCTCCTTTGCAGAAGTCATGTGGTCTCTTTGCTGTTGGCCCATCCATCCTTTTCATGTTGCTGCCTTCACCAGACTGTCATGCCAATTTAGCAGTAACTTCCACAAGAGTAAATAGTGGGACTATAGCAGCATGTATCATTACCAATCAAAAGAAATCAGCAGACTAGTGTAGGCAGATTTCATGTTCTGAACCCAGTGAAACTCATGTATGAAGAGATTAGCAACAAGAGCAGCTTCTGCCAAACCCATTCTGTTGCCTTCTCTAGCAGGATCTCTGTGCATGTGCAGATAGCTAGGCAGTGCTGAAAGGGAAGGGCCAGGAAATCCTACAGACAAAAGAACTGATTTGTCTGTGGGACTAACGGTCATCTTGTCTGCTTTTCTCAGGCTGGCTTAGAGTTAGAGCCACGACTGCAGATTGCCCTGGATGTAGTCGAAGGGATCCGGTTTCTTCATAGGCAGGGGCTTGTTCATCGGGACATCAAACTGAAAAATGTATTGGTAAGGGGCACCTCCTGGTATCTCTCTTCTGGTTGTTTCTTAAAGCTGCCTCTTCCCTTTGAAAGGGAACTAAAAAGTATATTGTCAATATTGGAAGCAAACAATAGAATAGCTTTGTTCACTCGGAGGCTTTCACGGGATGGGTAGTGTAAGTAGTACACTGTAAGGCTTCGGAAGCAAAAGGTAGCAGTATCCTTCTGAATGTCCCTCCCGAACGAGCATCTGCTTACAGGGAAAAGGTGAAGGGGCTTGCCTGCAGCTACAGAATCTATCCGAGCTGGGATCGGAGTGAGGACTCCTACCTCCCAGTCATGTTCTGACCCCAGCCAGCTATAGAATAGATGATGATAATCTTATGAGAAGAGGTTCTCAGTAACCAGCTAAGTATCTTAAAGCAGATGATGATCGACTCGCTTACCTAGAGAACTAACTATTCAAACGAACGTAATTTTGAAAGGCTTTTAATATTAAAAGCCAGTAATAGGCTTAAAGTATGGTTTAAAAATCACCTGATGTGTGAATGACTCCACAGCTTGACAAAAAGAACCGGGCCAAAATCACAGACCTAGGATTCTGCAAGCCTGAAGCCATGATGTCCGGCAGTATTGTGGGGACACCCATCCATATGGCCCCTGAGCTCTTCACAGGTAAGTCTGGCTTTGGTTCTGGACCTGGTTCCTAAGATGCATTGGTACGAGTCATAGAAATTGAGGGCTGGAAGGGCCCTCAAAAGGTAGTCCAACCCCCTTGCTCTGGGCAGGGACACTGCTGAAGTCAAATAATCCCAGCAAGGTGTCTGTCCAGTTTCTTCTTGAAGACTTCCAGGGCTGGGGACTGCACCACCTCCTTGGGAAGTCTGTTCCAGGTTTTGGTGAGCCTTACTGTAAAGAAGTTCTTCCTTGCATCCAACCTGAAACCATCCTCTAACAGTGGTTCCCAAACTGACAGATTGCACACCACCAGTTTAAAACAATACAACCTTAAGTACCGCCAGCAAATTTTTCAGTTCAACCTTAAGTACCACCAAAGTATACCTCCTCCCTCTCTGCTTGAAGAAAAGTAGTTGTCACTATGATTTCAATCTTTGCTTCCAGTGTGCATTTGACTTGACCTTCCTGGGTGTTTGGTCTTGCCTCTCCACTTCCTTTTAGTCTAAGGGCATGTTAATGCTGCCTCCCTGCTGTGGCCAGGGGTGCTGTTGTGAAGCTTACTCCAACCCTTGTTTGGCTTTGCTCCCCAGAATCTATGCCAGGCATTGTATCTGTATGAGAGCAGTCTGAGTGCATACTTGGAGTTCCTCTTATTGGTATGCTGTCAGGTTGCTGAAGGTGGCTATTGCCTCATCCAGGTGTGTGTCCTGCTTCATGGTGGTGCTCTACCATGCCTGACCCAGATGGTGCCCTCTCGGGGAATAATTACTGCAGCCTTCGATGAGCTTAATTTTTAACCAATTGTTTTTGAAGGGCAAATGGGTCCAGCCTTCCAAAACAAATCTTTAAAAAGGGGCCAGCAGTGTCTTTAAACTAACAAAGGGTTTTATTTATATTCAGCAGTCAAGTGAGGAGATCCAAAATTAGGTCTGGTTTCAAGGCTACTTCCTATCCACAAGGGAACCTTTCTGCGTTTTGGTCATAACAAGCTATTTCTTTACACTTTTTTCATCTGTTTCCCTGTCCAAGCCTTTTTTTACAGTAGTGCCCAGGGAGTTTAATCAGGATCACGCTACGTTAAACCTTGATCCTGCTCAGAGAGACCTTTGCTTACCTTTTTATGCATGGTGTATGCTCTGCTCCACTAGCTTTAGTGAGAATATTCAATGTAAATTTGCCTAAGTGAGTATTGTCTTTGGAGCACTGGAAGCCTTTTGCTTTTTGTCATGCCAGTGATTCAGTGCATTGCTAGCCCTGGGGCAATTTAACTTCTGCTGATGTGGGGAACCATGGCATAAATTCTCTTAGATGTCTGCTTTAATCTGCTGATCAAACATGATGTTTGCTCTCTTCCCACAGGGAAATATGATAACTCGGTGGATGTTTATGCATTTGGTATTCTGTTTTGGTACCTCTGTTCGGGACATGTGAAATTACCTGAGGCCTTTGAGAGGTGTGCGAGCAAAGATCATCTTTGGAACAATGTTAAAAGAGGTATGGATGGCTTGCAATGCTGTACAAAGGTTTTGTACGAAGTTCTCTTTATTCTCTTCCTCCTCCCCTTCCCTCTCCCCTTTTTTTCGTTAAGGTTTAAAAAATAAAAAAAAATCTGCATGGCTACTTCTGGTCTCAGTGACTTCGGAGACGTCGTAAGAACTGTTTTGCAGTTGCCTTCAGAGTGCTTCAGATGGTTCCTGATTCTGCTGCTTTTTCTATCCAAATGTGCATTAAAACAGCACTTGGGAAACAGCGTCTTCCTTGCTAAGAACAGTCTTGGGAGAAGACGGTTTCTGGTCACGTCGCTTGTACCAGAGTGGCTAGAATGAAGGAACTACTTGTCCTATTGTCTCGGCATTTCTCTGTAGTAACCAGCCCCTGTTCCCTCTCCTTATCCAGGAGTACGCCCAGAGCGCCTCCCTGTATTTGATGAGGAATGCTGGCAGCTGATGGAAGCTTGCTGGGATGGAGACCCTTCCCAGCGTCCTCTCCTGGGCATTGTCCAGCCTATGCTGCAGAGGATCATGGACAGACTCTGCAAATCCAACTCGGAGCAGTCTAACAAAGGGCTGGATGATTCTACTTGAAGGAATCCTGAGAGAGCTGTTTTATTATGGGAGGACTCTGACCCTTACTTGCAGGTGGCTTCTTAAGAAGTAGCTCTTTCTGGGTAACAGGAGTTGGGTGGGAGATGTCCACCAAAAGACTGCTCTCAAAGGTGAGAGACTTCTGGACATGCCATTTTGGGTGGTAGCCAGACAAATTCCACTCTAGTACACACTATTAATGCAAGTTACCCTGCTCTCACCCCCACTTTTATTTCAAAGATGAGTGAGTAAATAAATAAAAGATGGAGAACGTAAGCCTCTTGGACTGAAAGGGATCTCTGCTAATCCCCTCAAGACTGAAAAGAGAAGCATCTCGGGCTTCAGGTAGCAGCTGGATTGCAAGGAACTGCGGTTCTTACTTGGTGGTAGCAGATTTAAACAATTTCCATCTCTTTCCTCCCCTGTATGCTGCTAGCTGTGGTTGGCCTTTAGTCTCTCTACCAGCTTCCCTCATCTATGGAGTTTGGATGTATGGGGCAGGGATTAACTACCTTGTTGGGGGAGAGGGATTATAACAGATGAGGAGGAGTGTCTCTGTATTAGCTTCTAACACTTGGCATGTTTACATTTGACAGGATCCAAGAATCCATATCTACCTAATGGGGGAGTTTCCACTGTTACAGCAGTGAAAATACCCCGAGTCATAAGCTATTTGACAAGTTCCACTCCCCTCCTTTTCTTTGTTTTGCCGTTACCCCAAAACTTCTTTTTGTAAACTGAATTCTTGCTTATGGTAACTTTTGCTTAATAGTGGTTCTTGAAGTCTCTGAAAGGGCCTTGGTTTCTTCTACAGTCTTTTGGCAAGACAGCTGAGATCATTCAGAAAAATTGCACATGGTATTCTAGAAACACGAAAAGGTCATTAGTAACTGATGACTGCTATCCAAACCCACTGGGAAAATACCAGTTTGTGGCTTTTAACTAAAATGCTTCCCTTTGCTTTGAACCAAGTGTAAAGGCAACAACAGTTTTAAATTCTGCTATACTATTGAGAGACGTTTTAAATAAGGTTTCTTCAACCTTTTAAGTCCATTAGCTTGGTGAAAGAGTATCCAAGGGAAAACGGGTCTGTTGTTCTTCAGTGACTGCTCCTGGGTGGTTGTCAGTTCCTCTATCTCTTCACTTTGGGATTTGCAATTTGGCGGCGATTCAGCTGTTTTAGGGGCCTCATTCAGGGAGAGGGTGGCATAGGACAGGCCTCCTCCCCACTGAAATGAAGGTTTCTTCCTGAAAGCACACATGCACACACCTTTGCCACAAGGATTCATTTGCATTTCTTGGGCAAGTTTTGGTCTTTAATTTTGAAGTAGCTATGAGGGAGGGGGCTAAATTGGAGAGTGCACCTTGGTATAATATGTGAGGAAGCTGAGTAGTTGGTAGTTTGTCCCTGGACACATCTGCACCCTCCCATTGCAAGGGCTGGGAATGCAGTAGCTTCATAGGAAAGTTAGCATGCCTTGTGTAAAATCATGCAGGCATGTGAAATTATTACACCTTGCTGCTGGAATTTTACTGGGTGGTACAAAGCAAAACCTACAGCCAATAACCTGTTGCCGGTTAAACAGCTTGAACAAAGTAAAGGGATAGATAATCCTGCAGTGGTACTCAACAGCCTAGTTTAACCCTTTTTCTGTGTGCAATAAAACTGAAATAATGCTTTTAAACAAAAAAGACTGCTTTTGACTTAACTACACACAGTGGGCATTCTCTGGCCTGTGGTGGCATAAAAGCTGGATGGCTCCATACAGATTGCAGCTTCTACAGTAACTTGAACTGAAATGGGTGGCAACTGCAAACCACATACATAAAGAGAACCAATCTTTCTCAAAATAGGAATATTGCTAGAAACTTCTGTTGCTTTGGTGCATATTTATGCCACCGGTGACTTTAGCAGTATTAGTTGGATATCTGTTTACTGTGTGCTCAGGTGACTAGTAACCTTATTTTCAAACTGGGAGAGTTTTTCCAGGTCAGTCTCTTGCAGCTATAGAAGTAGTTTGTGCTTAAAAAAAATAAAAATAAAATGTAAATGTCTTGTATAGCTTCCCCCATGTGGCCACTTCATGAATCTTACCTTGTGCCTTTTTAATGCAGGCTCCCATCTCTTTCGGAGTCTCAATTCCCTAAAATTTTTCCTATATTCACAACACATAAGCCAACACTTGCCTTCCCCCTCCCACATTTTAGTATAGCCACTTCCTTGTTGGTTGCATAATTTGTCCACATCCTGACTTTTTTTTTTTTTATTTTTTCTTTGTTTGTTTCATAGCAGATATCCATGTGTGTGAATCCAAATAATGGTACCTTTTTTCATTAGAGCAAAGTAAAACCAAGTTGCATGGATAATCTCATTAAAAGCTCTGCTAGGTAATTGTGTAACCAAAGCCACTTGTATTGTTTGAGTTCAATTCCAGCAGGCTGAAAGGCAGAGTAGCTGTTAATTTTGTGTAATTTTGACAATTTAACATGGGTAGGTGCTTTTATTTCTACCCATATGAAGCCACCTTTTATAGCCTCAGAATGAGCAGATGTTAAATGTACTGTATCTTGGACACTAGATTGTAAAATGTACTTGCGAACTGTAACTTAACAGGTACTCTGGCTCTTGTATGTGGGCCCAAATCAGTGATGAGTGCCAGGGTCAGTGTCATTCCATCTTTTTTTATCCTCCCCACCCTCCCTCCCTCCCTCCCCCCTCCCATTTTATAAAAGAAAACCAACAAAAGATGGCTCAATTGCTCATTAATCCTAGGGTGCCTTTTTTTATGTGCACATTGCAAAATTCTCTTGGTGCAAAATCCAAATGATTGGAAACCAATCCATTCTACCTACTCGCTTTCATATCTGGCCCTTCTAAAGACCACAGGTGGAGATTTAAGCCTCAGAGGATTTAAATGTCTGCTAAAATGCCCTGAGGCTACCCTGAGCTGTAACGGGTGCTCCAGTATAAGCTGTTTTTTTTTTAGTCAGTAAGGTGGAAGCCCGTGATGCATAGGATACAACTTGTTTACTGAGCAGACATAGCTGCAAAGATAAAACTTTGCATTTGGAAGGTGCTAGGACATGGGTCAGCCTAGTTAAGCTACAAGGCAGCTCTTCAGCTGTTGCTCTCTTCTGGAATGTCTTTGGCCAGATGCTCCAAACACTACATGTGGTGGGATGAACTGGAAGAAAATACTTTCAATGCTGTGGAAGATTGGATCATAGCTGTCCTGGAGAACTTCTGCTTTGGCTCTTTGCTGACTGGCGGCTGCTGCTGCTGCTTACTGTGCATTGCTGGCAATTGAATCTTTATATCCTGAAGGGCTCTTTTAAGGGGTGGCTGCTGCTGGGTTGGGATAGGGTATTTTACTTGAACCTAATTCTGAAGATTTAAAGTGGACAGCTTGCAAGAACTTTATAGCTAAAATGCAAGCTGTTCCATATCCTTCACTCACTTTGATTGGTGTTGCTATCCTCTTCCTCTTGAAGGCAAGAGATGTGTTTATACGACTGTAGTTTATGTATGGAGACAAGTTCTCTCCTGGAGAAGGGAAGAGCAACCCCTTGCTATTCCTCCCAGAAGGAGTAACTGTTCTTAGCCATGTTTTCCTCTTACATTTTGTTTTTCATGTTGTGTTCTTGGGACTTGCTGATCTTGGATGTAGAACCTCTAGAAGTAACTCTTGTCTTCAAGACACTAACCTGTCCTCTCCAGGAAAAAAAAATAGGAGCCCATCAGCGTTAAACACCCTCAGGGGGCTTAAAATAGCACTACTGTTTCTTGAAAGCTTTTTAACTTCCTGTCCTCTTCATTTGGGCGTCCTCTTGAGCAAAGATTGTTCAATGGTGAAAACTTATATAATTTTGGGTCAGGGGAGCAAGTGAGAAATTGGTACTGTACAGATCCATTGTAATGCCCTTATACTTTTGTATTTTCCTTTTTATTTTAAAGGACTGATGTATATTACAGTGTTAAAACATAACAAACTTACCAAGTGTATAGGAAAAAGTGCAATAACCAGGAGAAATGAAATAATGAGCAAATTTAAATGTTTCCATGGTATTATAACTTTTTTTTTTTTCTGTAGTACTAACTAACTTCCTTTCTGTACCAGGGCCACATGTATTTTAAGAGACGCGACTGTGGGTTAAGACTTAATGTAGTGCCATTTATGACTTGTCTGTTTTATAGGTATGATATTGTCTAGAATGTGCAGAATGTCGTGCTTTTATTATAAAGATGACATTAACGTTTTATGTTTTGCCTTGTCTGGCTTTTTTTTTTCTTCCCTTCACTGCATTTACCCTTTCACCATAGTGCTCTCCTACTGACCTCCAGTAGCATACCAAGGGGGAGGGGAAGGGTGTGGGGCACCAGCCCTGGATGCCAACTAAGGAGGGGCACCAGCATTACCCTTTTTTGTGCAAGAAGCAGCCTTTTTGTGTTGCTCTCTCGCAAGGTTTACCCGTGGTGCAAACCCTGCTTGTTAGACACGGAGTAAGTGGACTGCTGTCATTAGTATTGGACGTGCACAAGCCTTTGATGTGAGTTGTGTGTGTTTGGACCAGAGTGACTCTTGGACTGAGTGTGGTTTTTGTTTTGTTTTGTTACTTTGTTTTGTTTTTTAAGAATTACTAAGCCCAGGGGTCAGCAAATTCATAGGAGCAATGAGCTGAATTTAAAGCAGCTTGGCCCAAAGGCTAGCTGTTGCTTGCCACCTGTCCATCACCACTGCTTTCCTCATTGCTGGAACATTGACAATTCAGCTTTTGTGCCAGATGCAACCACCTGCTGAGTTGGGGTGGGGGGGGAAAGAAGTCCCCTGTCCCATTGCAGTCCGAAATGGTTGCTTTTCCATGCAACCCTCTTTGCTTCCAGAGAACATCACGCTGATAGAGACAGCTTTTTTTTTTTCTTTTTTCTTCCTTCAGGAAGATTCAGGAGCCTTTACTGATTAAATGGCTGCAGTTCTTAGACCAGGGTCAACTGCAGAAAACTTTTCCTGGGCAGTAGCTATGAGGATTGGACTCTGCCACAGGCCTAGTCCGTTATCTGAAGACTTCCTTTCTTATGAGGGTGCATAATCCTCCGGGAGAAGAGCTGGAGCTCTTCTTTAGCCTCCCTCAGACTGCAGGTGCAGGGTGTCTTAACAAGAAAATGTCTGAACAGTGTTAAAATCCTGTCTTCCAACAAATGGTTCCTCAGACCGATTAAAAATATTGATCTTAAGAATGATGTGGGGGTCATCTCACCGACCAGTCTCTCCAATGAAGTTTCAAACAATAAAATAGAATAGGGTTGATTGATTATTTCATAATTGGTTTATCAGTGGCTCTAGTGGCCTTTTGCATATCTGATTTGACAAGTATAGCCATATAAATGGCTTGAGCGACCAAGTAACCCTAATTATGAACTCCCGCTTAAGGGAACAGAGCCAAGTTGGGACAACTGCAGTCAATACTCTACTCAACGCTGTGTCTGAATTTATCGTCCTGAAATGGCCCATCTTTTACTATACTACCCACTTGCATTAAAAGGAGCTAGAAGAAAACTGGCAATCATGCTTTAAAATAAGAATAAGGCTTCGTTGAGTTCCTGATGTTGCCACTTTTTGAACACTGGACGCGAATTCAGTACGCTGTCGGCTCTTATGAAGCATTATATCTTAAAACCATCCGTTGCCCTTTTCCAGCTCGGACCGTAGCGCCGTTGTGTCCAGTCTCCCGTGTCCCGCAGCAAGGGGGGTTTCTTTCCCTCGCCCTTCCAGCCGCCGGCATCTGAGGCTTGATCTGTCCTGGCCTGGAGGCTATACCTTTCCCTCCTCCTGCATAGTCTAAGAGCAGGCCGGGAGCTGGGTTTCTGGCTGCAGCTGTGTCAGTCTAAGGACAGGGGTTGTTGGAGCAGATGTGATCTCTCTCTAAGGCATTGCATCTACTCCAAGGAGCTTGGTACCTAAAGCGGGCACTTTAGGAACCTATAGCCTGGGGGTGGAGGTTTTGGTCCTGTTCAATGGGTGATTCCCACGGGTGGTGCCGGGACTGGGGCAAGCTCAGGCTGCCTTGACCTGCTCTGTAAGGGGGCGGGCAGCGCTGGCTGTGCTCTTGCTCGCCCGGAACCTTTGTGCCGCGCGCCGCTTTCCAGCCGGACGCGTTTCCTCCGCCCCCCATTGAGGTGGCCGCCCCGCTGCCTGCTCCGTCTTCCGCCGCTGGGCGGGGGAGGAGGAAGAGGAC